CCTTTGGCCCGGCTGGTTGGGGGGCTCCCCACATCGTTGTGTTGGTCCCCCTGCCTGCTGGTGTTGGGGGGGTGTTGGTGCCGGTGCCCCCAATGGTCATGGTCTGTGATTCCTCCCGGTGTGGACGGCCCCAATGGTAGTGTTTCCCACAATCCTGTGTCATGTCATGCTTCCCTAGGTCCAGTGGTTTGTGTGTGTGTGTGTGTGTGTGTGTGTGTGTGTGTGTGTGTGAGTGCATTTGTAGCCATATGTGTATACATGGAGAGTGGGAGGGACGAGTTTTCTTGTTTTCTTTTACAATGTTTTTAACTGCTGTAATGTTTTTAAAATGCTGTAAAGCACTTTGCGTTGCTCTAGTGTATGAGAAGTGCTATATAAATAAAATTTGATTTGATTTGATGATTGAAGCATTTTTGAAGGATATATTGAACAAGCAAATAAGCAAAGTAGTTTGGTCTAGCCTATTGAGTGCTTTGTACCTTGAAGTAAATTCTAAATAATATTGTAAGCCAGTGCAGAGCAGGTAAAACTGGACTGATATGTAGAGCTCTTCTAGCTTTTTAGGGGTCCTATGCAAAATCTTTTTTGGAGGGCTCCCTTCCCTGTTTTAAACATACATGAGTACACAAAAAGTGACAATGAAATTGTTGCCCTCCCTGCGCACTTACCTGTCTGAATTTATAGGCAATAATAGCCTTGAGCATGATAGCAGGGGCACTCGTGAGGCAGGTTTAAGGGGCAAAGAAGCACTTTCTGTGTAGGAGTGTTGGAGAAATAATCACTGGCTCAAACAGGGATCAAATGGTTGACATCAGCAGTGTGGTGCTCTAACCAGCTTGACCAAGCCATTGCTCGAAAAGCATCACAGGACACTCTTATGTTTGGAGGGCAGAGAGACAGTTTTCTCCTGAGGTCAGTAATTACTGAGAGCAAAATGCATTGACACAACTNTTCCTGTCATTTCACATTATTACACATAACTATGGACATCTATGGTTTGATTTCTTTGCATGTGCGGATTACATGGGTTGTTTCCAACATCTGGTGAAAATTTTATGTCAGTAGCATCTTTAGAAATATATTTACTGAGAAAAATGGTGACAATGTTCAATACTTATTTTACCTGCTGTAGATAGTGACTTCATTGATGGTAGGATGATGTTTTATTATTCCAATCAAAAATATTAATGTAGCATGGAATATCTCAGTATAATGAATCAAGTATTGTTTGTGCCTACACATGCCATCTCTACACCAGAATAGATTTCATGAAACAACCAAGTACTTGCTATATGAGAGATGATAATAAGCGGATGGAGAGTAGAGTCATAGACCAGAAATCACAAGTCAGTAACAAGTCACACATCAGTGATAAATAGAGTTAATGAGGTTGTTGATGCTGGTTTGAAGAATGTTGCTTCACTCTTCCTGGAGGGCTTGGTGAACATAATGTCACATTCATACGCATGTCCATCCAGAGCATTATGTGGCAGATTGACTGGCGGACTCTGCGGTCTGAAGCAATTTCTTGGACAACAAATGGTGGAGTTGACTACAATGTGTCAAGTGTGTACGAGTACCTGGCTGCAGCCCGAAGTGACATGCTGGCATCCAGCATGCCAACGGCCTGTTGTCGACTTTCTCTTTTCATCTGCTGCACTGTGCCATTGAAATAAGGCTGGAATTTTAAGGTGGCGTATTATAGTCACTGGACAAAGGAGTGCCTGTGTACCAGTCACAGTATCTGATTGTTGTTTGACATAACTACACTGATTCACTGAGTCACCAGCTGAACAGAATAGCAAATTCAGGACTGCGCAAATAATGTTCAAAGCAAAAAATAAGTTGCTCTCTGACACCATTAAGCGACTGTTGACAAGCAGCATTGGAAACTATGAATCAGGGGGAAATCTAATTTCTAAAAAGTCATTTGCTGGTACTGCCATGAAGAGTGGATGTTCATCAGTTTGTGGGGTAAACTTAAGGAAAGGTCTGGACGATGAGCTCAAACATGAGTACAACTTTAAGATAACTAAAAAAAAAAGTGTTTAAAAAATATATAATTATGTGAACCTGAAAAGTTGTTCTTTAGTTTCATAAGCAGTTTACTTACAAGATCCATTTACAGAAGCACAAACTCTTTATGTCATGGAATTTGCCAGTGCTAGCTTCGGATATTACAGCACCTACCAACATCTGCACCACGAAACCAAGCTGCCTGCCAATACCTCTAATACTTACTTAAGCTTGTTTATTTATTCTGCTTTATTACGGTGTATTTTTTTTTGTTAAAGAATATTATATAACACAATTACAGTTATCATGCAGGCAAGTTTCTTTATTTTTTTTCACAGGGATGTAGCAACACATACAATAGTCTTGTTTGTGACCTAAAACGTCCCTTACAACAGACAGAGGTAAGACTGGCTTAAGACAGATATTCATAGTGACCCCTGACACATGTTGTAGTCACCTGTCCATGTCTGCCTTTTGAAAACTTTCAGACAGTACAGTGCAGTAATTCTTTAGCAATATCCACCAGTTACATTGTCAGAGATAAGGATTTTAAAAAGGCCCCACCTATGTTAACTAACCTGTTAGAATAATTTTAAATAATTTTAAATACATACATAAATGGACCTTTGGATATTAAAGGGGTGGTAAAGGCTGAAGACCATCTTTACATTTTCTGCAAAATATGACCATAAACTAATATTTATATATATGTTATTTGTAATATTCACATTATCCCATATATTGTTATTTTCTTGTCAAAATATTCTATTAGCTGTCACCCCAATACCAGCATCGAGTTACAGATGCGGAAAGCTCAATTTTCCCCCAATTTGGGTCATTTCTCCATCGCTCTGTGGTTGTGTTTCATCTCTTTGTGGCTGCTCTGCTGGTCTTTGGTGAAATGTTGTTCTTTTGTTCCTGAAAGGTCAAAGTGAATTTGTAAGATTTTTAATTACCTTGCAAAAAACTGCAATAAATGTTACAAGGTGAAAATCTGTCCTATTGCAGCTCGACAGATAACTATCAGAGTCAGGCAAAGCAGCTCTCACTGGTTGAGACTGTAGCTGTGATTATGACTATAATAATGGAATGATCCTATCGCTGGTACTTTGACTGCAGCCATGGCTGACTGTTTTTTAATGGTTGTAACACTACATGCTGGGTTTGTGTGTCTGCAGTGAGTTGACATGAATATACTGGCTGAGTGGTTCATTGAAGCTGCAGTACTCCTGAGCTTGTCCATGTTGATAACACATCTGTCATGTTTGATTAAAGCACCATGGGTTCAAATTCTGTGTGGCTTAATGGTGATCTGAAATGTTAATCGGAGCAGTATGGAGTCATATCTGTATTATAACATCAAACATTCAAATACAAAAGTGGCCAAAAGAATGTATTTTACCAAAATAAAGTGCAAGTTATTGTGAACGATCATCTGGTAATTATAATTTTTTTCCACAAAAAAGTCAACCCAACACAATCCAACTTGTAGACAGCACATTTTAACTTTCACTTTTATATATATTTTTTTAAATACACAAGCTGTGTACTGTTGGTATCATTTCTATGTTTAATATGTCTTTAGTTCTTTATCCTCATGATATTAATCCTTCTCCATTTGGATGAATCAGTCTGTCAACGTTGTGTTTGGCTTTTTGTACATTTAAGCCAAAAGCTTAGAGAGTGACAAAGAGATGATGTTTTAGACCAAACTGTACACAAAGTGTCCTGATGATGTTCAGACTAACTGCGGGGTCATCCATTAGTCACCCAGACACTGGAAGGTTTAGAGAGGAACACCGGAAGGGGAGAAAGGATGAACAGATGGAAGCTGGGAGGGCTTTGTTTATTCAGGCTCCGAGTTTCTCTCTCACTTTAACTTCACAATTCTGCTGGTATGATGACACATTTCTCTGCTGATATTGCGAATCTTAAATAATTCATCTGAAGGAATCAGAGACAGCTACAGCATTTGAAATATTTGGAAGCATCCTTTTGAATGGATTTGTACACCATAATACCAGTTTAAGGTGAGTTACAGAACACTTGGACATAAATTTTGGATGACTGAGACAAAAATGTAGTTGTAAGCCTCCAAAAATTACACTTTAATCTTCTGTTGCCTAATGGCAAACGATAACCACCTGAGAACAAATACAAAAAACTGAAACTTACTTCCTGCTACAAACAAGAATGAGTTTTCAAAGTTACCAAGAATTTTGTTGATTAAAAAAAAAAGCTATGGTGGAGTTACACAATTTTTTTCATTATTTAATTTGTTTAATGTCACATTAGAATACATGTTGCATAGTCAACATGTCAATTAAAGTATCTTTCTTATTTTGCCCAGTGAATGTGGTTTTCAAAAGCTTTGTACGTTATGTGTGCATCTGCCAGTGTGCCATCACAATGACAGTAGACAGAATAATATGTTCATTCATGCAATCTGCAATAAGACTTTAAAACACATGTATTTATCGGTATAGGCAATTGGTCAAAATAAGTTGGAAAATCTTGGCATATCAGATATCTGAAAAACATCCCTAGCATCCCTAGTATTTATTTTGTCCCACTTAAAACTACAGAACAAGTTCAAACAGCATTTTAAATCAGATCTCTTCTTTGTCCATTTTATTTCTTCTGGACATAGTTGAGCTCATGTCAACATCAATGTGAAATTCTGATGACTTTCTCATACTTTTTAAATTCAGCTCCCGAGAAATAGTCCTTTTCTGGTCTCAGTCTGATCTTAATATAAGATCTTAAAATGCTATTACTTTTTCTCACTTCACTGACCTTTGTCTTAAAACATCAGTTCTTGATAGAAGAGTAAGCTTTTCATTAGAGTGCATGAATGTACAATAGAAAAATGTAACATAAGAAGACACCCATGCTATCTCTAAATTATCAATATACTCCCTAATTTCAGACTTTCCTCATCGTAACTACAGTGCAGCCCATTGTTGAAACACCCACCTACCACCATGGCCCTCATCGGTGCTGGCTTAGATGACCAGTCCTTCAGTAGTGACGAGAGTTACAACCACCTTTTCATAGAGTCAGAGGGCACCACAGTCAAAGGCTTGTACTTCCAGCGTGGTAGGATTCTCCGTGGACCAGAGGCCTCACGGCAGTTCGTCGATCCTTGCAGACAGGCCCTCATCAATGTTGGGGGCATCAGGTACACCTTCCCCTGGAGCACCCTGGAAGATTTCCCCAAGAGTCGTCTGAGTCGTTTGCGCTTCTGCACCACCCTAAGGGAGATTGCAGAGTTTTGCGACGACTATGACTCGATGCTCCATGAATTCTTCTTTGACCGTGACCCTTTTGCTTTTCGGACCATCTTCTGCTTCCTGGCGAAAGGGAAGCTGCGGGTGCTGCAGGATGTCTGCAGTGTAGCCCTGCACACTGAGCTGCTGTATTGGGGGATAGCCTTAAACGATATGGCGCCCTGCTGCCGTCATCGTGTGGTCAGCTGTGTGGAGGCTGTGGCCCAGCACCAGCGCAGAGAGGAAGAGTGGCAGGAGAGAAGAAGAGCCATGAGAGCACATGTAGAACAGGGAAGTTTGTTCTACAAGCTGGGAGAAGCAGTGGATAACCCTCATTCAGGTTTAGCTGGGAAAGTGTTTGCCTTCCTGTCTGTCATCATGGTGGTGGTCACTGTGGTCGGCCTCTGCATCGGCACTATGACAGATGGCCGGCAGGACGGAAACACGGTATGTATGGACCAAAGCAAAGCTCTACAGAAATGTACACATTCTATGGCCCCACAATTTCATTCCCTATGTGTCTACTATTGCTGTTTTGTCAAAGCCACTGGCATCTGAGAGATACCTACAAGGTGTCCTTTGGGATTGGTGCCACCTATCCAACGGTAATAGATGTATAGGTTTCTCCAGTTAAACCCTGTAAGGTCCACAGTTGCAAAATTCCATCACTTTTAGCTATTCTAAAAAACAATAAATCAATAAAATACATATATATATTTTTTTTACAAAGACCACACCTATGTAGTCAATAGATTCTATTTTAAGCCTATAGTTAGCTTTGTAATGCCACTGGAAAGTAGATGTTTATACAGGTGTATTTTTTAGGTGTTTTTAAACCAATCAATTGCGTTTTTGCGGTGCTCGGATGCAGTGATGGTATCCTGGAATTCAGTGGGAGGCCGTGCATTTTTCTCTTTGGCCTTCAGTTTCGTCCTGCCTGAATCAAGCCACCTCTTAACACCGTCATTATGATGTCATGGCTACAGAAACCATCAGTATTATACAGAAAGGCAGCATAGCAGGATGTTGCACCGTTGACAGGTATCTCATGTAGCAAGAATGAATGCCACTACTAAAGCAAGAGACCCAGTTAAAACAATTCAACAAGTCTCCTTTCACTGCAGCCACAGCTGCACCATATACATCACATCAGGGTTGTCACCACGCTATTTCCTTGAAAAAACATGCTGTGTCTTGGCCCGGTACACTGTCTTTCAAGCTGCATGTTTGGAAAATTTGACTTATTTTACATTAAAACATGCATATTTTCCAAAGAAACTCATTTCTCTACCATGCCTGTGCGTGAAACTGCAGTACAAAAATGAAAGAGTGAAATAAATTATGATGCATCATACATCCAAGTTGCAGTGAATTTCTGCTGATGCAGGCGACTGAGCTTTGAGTGTCCCAGGCAAACTTGACTTTGATGCACATGTTCAAAGCACCAGTAGCTCTGTTCTTTTCATAAAAAAGGCCACACACAACTACATAATAGCCCTTACACACCCAAATATCTACTCTCAAGAACAAAAAAAATCACAGGACATCTTGCAGAGGTCAAAGATGCAACTGCAGAGAAAAAACAAACAAACTCTGGCACTGTTTATAAATCTGTCCTGGAGTTTATGTAGGTGCAGTCACTACTAACGCTGTAAGTAAGTCTAAAAGCTTCCAGATCAGTTTTTCTCTGGCAAGATGGCAAGAAGGTCATAATTACTTCTTTAAGCACATGACTATGTGATGCCATCAGAGAGCGAAGATGAGGAGAAATCCTCTGCACTCGGAAGAAGAGACATCTTCTACCCAAGATGAGGACACATCCTCTCCTGAAGATGAGGACACATTCTTTCCTGAAGATGAGGACACATCCTCTCCTGAAAATGAGAACACATCCTCTCCTGAAGATGAGGAGACATCCTCCTCAGAGGATGACAGCATCACCACTGATGATGAGAAGAACCAGCCAGTGCCTGACTCTTCTTCCTCAGTGGGTGAGGACAATACAGACACAGCAGTGGAGGCTGAGCAGGTAATGGCAGAGACAGAGGAACTGGCAGCTAAATGGATGTCTCATAATGGGAAAATTATGTGGTTTCCCACTGCTAAAGAGACCCTGCACTACAATCCGGTACCCACTGGTATCACCCCAGGGCCCACCCTGTATGCAATTGCCCGCATCAGCAGGCTGCGGTCTACCTTTGACCTGTTTGTAACAGAGGAGATGATTCAGCTGCTGTGTACCCATATAAACCCACATGGGAGCAGGAGGTGTGAGAACTGGAGGGATGTGGATGAAGTGGAGATGAGACCCAAGATCAGGATTCTGATTCTGGCTGGCGTTTACCGCTCAAGACATGAAGCAACATGTGCCATGTGGAATGACAAGATGGGACAGGCCATATTTCATGCTATGATGCTCTAAATCAAATGAAAAGGGTTAAAATTCTGAAGTTAGGTCAGGATTGATTCTAATTTTAAAAACTTAACTGTTGAAAGTACAAAATAATGTTAATATGTAAAAACATTAGGTGGCCATTTTTGACCACAAACACGCTGAGTGGGAGTTTTTCTTCTTTTATTGTTACTGCACAAAAAATTAATGATGCATAAAAATC